ACCGCCATTCAAGAAATGCGTTGGACGGGGCAAGGAAATTAACGCGTAGGGCCTTGCGACCGCTATTACAGTTGTCACATGAAGGAGAGAGAGAGAGAGAGAGAGAGAGAGGGAGAGAGAGAGAGCGACAACCCGCATCAAATCGAGATTTTTCAACATCTCGCTCATTTACGCCCACGCCTCGAAGGAAGAAAAGCACAAAGCATCCATGCATCGTCGCGACTGTCAAAATCGTGCTTGGCGATTCAACGCCCAGGTGGACAAGGAAGACATCTTTGGCCCCACCGTCGGAAAATGCAGCCTCCACGACGAAAAGTCTGACGACAAACTGAGGCATAAAAAAGATCCATCAAGGTACCTCGATGTCTCCAGATCGAACAACGAGAAACCAAATCGTTCATGTTTTGATAAAAGGAAGAAACAACTGGTACGTTGAGGAATGGCATGCTGTGATCGAGCGCAGGGCGAGCTATGTGGGAAAGATATAGTGAGCTGAAAATGGAAGCGAGACATATTTGCCCCAATAAGAAGATAGAAAAGAAATTATGGGACTGCGAAGAGCATAAAATGCTGGCCGACAGGAAAATGTCCGAAAATTTTACCAGAGAGTTAGGCGACTTACGGTAGGTTTTAATGCCGGGGCGAGCTTCTGTAAGAAAAACCATGGCGACCTAGTGACCTATGTTCAGACCTAGTGACCTATTGAACGACAGCAGCATTGAACGAAAGTAATGGAGTCTGTTGAAACTTATACCGATACCGTTCAACTTTCTTTATCTCTACAAAGCTGGTGAAAAAATGATATCTCCAATGCATGTGTCGCTTTGATCGTAGACCTAGACATCTTCTTCGTGCCGAAAGCTTCCTCAGTGAGCACTTGTTAACCGACAACGGGTGGGAGCCTTTCTGCCCTTAGTCTGAAGGTTGACGTTGGTATAAAAAAAGTTACATGCTTGAGAAAACGGCAAAACTTTTTTCGAAACTGCGTTTTACGCAGATTTTGGTAGGAAATATACACCTTCAATAAAAATTTGAATGTCTTACTTAGTACCAAAAACAACATGCCCCTTTAAACAAGCCCTACATGTTTTTGATATTCTTTTTGTTATGTTTTTTGCTTCTCCTGTAAAATAACAAATTTGTTGGTTAGGGCCTTTGTGACTTAAGTTAGCGATATAATCTAAAGGCCACGTGAATAGAGTCCAATGCCGGCTCCTTTCTCCACCTTAAGGCATTATTAAGGCACCTTAATAATAAGAATATATATTCAGTTACAAGCTGACAAATTTGAACGTTGTTTATGCTACGAAGTGCACTACAGACAACAAAATTTCATTTTTATATTCTCGTTAATGCAACGGGAGCACCAAACTTCATTCTATGCCCGCCCCAATGAAATAGGATTATAAATAGTAGTGATACATCATTACGTACTTAGTTACAGTTACGGTGACCATCCGTTCTGTATTGTAAGGGGCAGTACTCTTTTTCTTCGTCAATTGTCCTGTTAATTTATTTATTTCATACGGGACGAAAAATGTTCTGTATTTCTTTTAGTGTCTCGTATTTACTCCGTATTCGGTATTTTGACGTCCTAAGCGGTCATAAAAATGACATGCCTATGAACCAATTTTTATTTTTAAATTTGGACGCTTGTGATTCGAATCGAGGAGCACATATGTACATAGATGGTTTCTCAAGTTACATTTTTGTGTAGAAAAACTGGATATTTGTAAACTATAGCAAATAAGTAAAAGGTGATAGAACCTTCCACTAACGCCTAAATTAAAGATAGAGCTCTCGACTAATATCTCTGAAAATACCATCCCTGCAGCTGGACTTGATGGTCACTTGAAGTCATTTATTTAACAGCAAAAACTGATTTTGGCGAAGTTCGAGTCCCTACCGCAATTAAACAAAAGGTGATAGAACCTTCCACTTAGGCTTTAATTAAGTCTTGAACTTTCGACTACAATCCCTAAAAAATCTATGCCTGCATATTGACCTTAAGGTCACTTATAGCCATTTATTTAACAACAAAACCTGATTTTGGCACAATTTTTTGTCATCAATAGCACAATTTTCCAGTATTCTAGGCTAGCAGAAAATACTAAAGACAGGGAAGTCTACCACTGTTATTGAAGAAAGGAAACAAAGAAGAAAAAGAGCCACACAATGAGTTGATTAAACAAATTCTTAACCATGGATCACACGATTTGTACATTTGTAGAAATTTCTGCATTTTGACAGTTGCAGAGTATGGTGGTTTGGAAATTTTCTAATTGAGCTGAACTCATTTTCGATACAAATTTCTAGACAACACCACTCTGTGGTTGATGAAACTAGATAATCGTTGTATTAAGACCTAAAAAAATGTCCACACAACAAAATACACACAGCTTTCGGTTTTTGCTCTGGCGTTATTACCAGTCCAATGTGCCTTGGTGTTATGCTATTCAATGCATTGTGCTTGACCGAAATCCGAGTCTGAAAATAATCCTTTGAATACCACACGTGCTTCAAAAGTAGTCCGATATTTTCATAACGTTTCCCTGCCTAAGAATGTTCTTAACAGATTTTGCGGGGTAAAAATCCCGAGCACAAAGTACAAGGTTATGGGAAAATATTCTACAATCGAGTAAAAAGATCGAAACCACATATACTTATGTATGCCAAACAAAGATGCTGTTTCAGGGCGAACAAATCTAGGATCGTTGAGAAAAGTTTTAAAATTCTCTACCTTTTGTGGAAATAATTGCCAAAATAATTTTTTGCTCCGGATGCGAAAGCAATAAATATGGTCACCGTACCTGCAAACGTATGTACATAATTACTTGTATTTACATATGTGCATGATTACATACATGATTATATACATATGTACATACGTATTTCTACACAAGCTATATTTATGAAACTAAACGCTTTGCAAATAAATACGAGCACGAAAGCGCTTTTATGCTTTGGCACATACGATACTCTCTCTTACCC